TCCTCCAGGTTTTCACTCCGGCACAGAACTTATTCCACCCCATGAGAAACTTTTTTAAAGAGAAAAAGAGATATTATTCCTGTACCATCAGGGACATATTCAATTTTCTACATGTCTAGAGTTTCGAAAGAAGATGTGAAATGCCTTATGGATTTACGATCTGTATAAAATCATAGGTCTCCCCTATATTCTGTGGCAGGTGAAAAATCTCCAGTGGTAATGTCGATATTTTTTTAAACATTTCAAAGTTATTTTCAAACCCATTAATTATTGTTTCGAAATAACTACGAAACTCGGTATTAAACTAATTACATCTTTCATCCCGGGACTGTACGTGTTTCGGGGCTATTATTTTTCATTCAACCCAGCCGGCAGTCTGTACCCCCATTTTCACCACTTCGGGGTTAATATTGCCTGATCGTCGAGTCACCATTTGCATGACAATCGCGATGCGCGAGGGAGAATTCTCTTGAGTGGTCCTGAGGAATACCGGGCGGTCGCGTCTTCTTTGTACACTCGGGGCGTCATAGCCCTGACGTGAAAGGCTACCCACCCTTTTCATACCCTTGTCAAAAAAAAATTGAAAAAAAAAGAAAAGATAAAACCGAGAGTAGTCTGAAGTTTCAGATGGGACTAGGCTAGTTTCGTTCTTGGTACCGCGCCTGTGAAGTTACAATCTCTAATTAAATTCAGACTCTTACGGTCCATCGTTCATTAAGCGCCGGATCAAAGTGATATTCTCGTAAAGTAGCTCTTGCCACGTCGTACCGCTGTCCCATATGAACACCCGCTCTTTTCCTCATCCTCCCCTGACCCTCTGGAGTACACGTAAAAAGGGATTCTCGAGGATGCTCCGACCAGCGGGAGTGAATCTTTTATACTCGCACCGGACGATCGACACTCGATGCTCACAGGGCCATAACCGATACCCACTTATAGACGACAATCGATCCCATTAAAATTTACAATTCCGCTTCGAATCGATCAGTCGTGCATTTATCGAGCCAATAAATAAAATGGCGATGAATAAATGATTTTGACTTTACCAACAATTGATCGTAGAGATAGATATCGGGATAATCAACGAAGTCCACCATTTTTCAGTCACTTGATCAACTTCTTTCTCAAATGTTCATTCACAAAAACAAAAACGAAATAACCAAAAAAAAAAAAAACTTCAGTTTTCTTTTCACCAAGGGAGCGCGAAAAAATATCATGCGCTCACATTCGCCACCCGCACTTTCAATCTCACTGAACCGCAAATATTTCTGTAACAACTTTAGCAGAGAAGCCACACGTATTTTTATCGTTTCCCCGCAGTGATGTTCCAGTTGAACTGCGCAGGATTCAGTTGGTTCGTTCACTGTACGTTGCATAAACAAACGAAGATGATCCCCTTTAGTTTTAATTCCATCATAGTCCGAACGTCGAAAATCCACGGGAAAAAGCAGCACGCGGTGAGTTTAATTCGATAGGAAAAATTGCCACTCGCCGATAGCCAAATGAAAAAAAAAACATAACAAAAAAACAAAAAAAGTAAAAAAAAAGAGGAAAACGAATGGATAAATTTCGCGGGATTGGCGGGCGTAACTGCACGACTGACTGGCTTGCGGTGTTAGGAGCGAATAGGATACTCAGTGCCGTTGAAGAATGAACAAGAAAGCGAGAGAGAGAGAGGAAAATCCACGAGGCGCACGCGAGGGGGAGGATGAGGAGGAGGGTGGTGAGGGCGGGAAGGGCGGCAAGGGCGACGGCGGCGTCGTTGTCGCCTTGGGTGTTGGTATTCTTCTTCACCCCCCAAAGTACGCACATAATTACATCTGTATACTATAATCCCACTCCTCTTGATTCCCCCCATAAAATCCCATAACTGATCTTGAAATCTAAATGAAAATTCTATTCTCCGGTCTGCGTGAGTATTCCCAAGAGTTTTCATCATTGTCTGAGTATGATACGACTATACCACTGCAGCCGCAACTTTCATTCCAGTTAGGGATGAACTTTTTGTTGGTGGATTGGTGTTTGAGATATGATGAATAGCCAAGGGGAAGGCATAGCCAACGGGTAATGACCCAGATGGATATGAAAATACAAAACAAATACGAAAACAAAGATTGTGGAAAGGTGGTGTGGGGTGGAGTGGGTGGAACACGGTAAAGTCCAAAACATATCTTGGGTGAGAAACTGGTTGTAAGCCCGCCGGGAGGATTTCTTACTTTACCCCCCCTGTGGCCATCATGGTGAGAGACGAATGAACAACTGGTGTTAGAGCGCAGGTGTACAATGGAAGTAGCAAAAACTTGGTTAAGGAGAAACTCTAACAATTCTTGGATGGAAGGAGGAGAAACAGCCGATCTTTGTGTCGCGTGTTCATACCAACTACTCTGGCAGCCATCTCTTTTCGTACTACATCTACCCCACAAACTCCCTCTCTGCTTTATCTTTCTGACTTTATATAACATGAACACAAGTGAGAATTATTCCCCTTATGCAAATCAGTCCACAAGAGAATGATATATCTACCCGAGCGCTATATCAAACTCACCCCGTTGTAACCCAGTATTATATTCAAACCTTGAGGAATATAACCTGTAAACTAACGTTTATCTTCACTTCACTTTCATTCTTTCAACTATTTTACATGACGGTTTTGCCAGGCCCTCGTGTATGTTTTCACTTCATTCTCAAGGGTATGTACGGCTTTCTCGAGCCCTCCAATTACAACGTCGTAAATCGCCCGGCCAATTTGTCGAGTTGGCCTTTGTCGAGAACCTTTCACTGAATTTTCGAGCTGCTCCAAACAACTTCTCTAATGAACAATTGAAAAACTAAAATCCGGAAAAAATAATTGCCCTATATTACTGATCAATGAAATTTTCGGGACTCTCGGATTAGTTGAAAAATTTTTCTTCCGCTCCAATGAAATACAAGGCGATAAACCGCGTCTCTGCGGTAACATCTGGCAATCCGTAAACAGCCCCGAGGCTTGGCAAGATCGGATGAAGGTAAATAAACACGAATTAAATCGGGAAAGGCTTTATAACGTTGACGAGACGAGAGTGTGCGCCAATGTACATGGAATTGAAGGAAACCCCTGGAAAACGCTTTTCCCTGTCGCATTCACGTTTGTTTAGGATAGATTTTATCGTTTCTCTTTTTTTCCCGATTCTTTTCGTTCGTCTGAGCTTTCAAGTACTGGACTCTGATCACAGAGAGAAAAAGTAGAAAGTAGAAAGTTGTATAACGACCGAAGTGGATTCTTTCCGTTTTCCTTGTATTGAGGGAAAAAAAAATCAGAGGTACGTAGAGTTTCAGATAAAAAGACTTTAGCGATCTTTAATTCTGACTCAGTAAGGCGTAGATCGATTTCGAGAACGAGTGGAATGGAAACTGGCCTCGTCTTTAAATAGAAACCCACTAGATTGTATTACACTGGAGCGTGCTGCACTTCTTCTTATTTTATAATTATTTTTTCGTGCCCGCCCTTGGAATATACCGGATGTCCACGCGAGTTTTTGATTGATGTTGAGCCCCAGATGACGGACGAGATGAGGTGAGAGATGAGAGATTGCCATTTTTCGTTATTTCAGTGTTATTCGCCATTTTTTCCTAAATATCGATTGCCCTAAAAACTCAATTTATAAAAAGGCCGATTCTTCTGGAAATTTAATAGTCTCCGGTTTCAGAATTTCATTTCTCCCGTGGTGTTACCATTTCTCATCTCCCTCGACTTCTCTCAATAATCGGAATTCTTTTAAATATCCCACACCCTGTAGCCCCACACGTGTGCCGCGCTATTCTTAACCCAGTCTTTGAACAAGTCCCATTACAAAGCATTGTTATCGCCCGTACAGTGTTTGAATATCGGTTTCAGATGTTTATAATTGTGTGTATAGACTACTCGGTATTTATGACCTCAGGTGTGTGTATTCTGGTGGATGCTGGGGGACGATGATCGGATTCAATTAGCCCCGACGAGTTGATATTCACGATAGAGCGTGAGTTACCTGAAGTTGGATGGCAAGGTTTCATAGAGAAACAGTGTGACAAACAAACGTGTCCATGCGGTACATCTGTGCTACGACTAGGGTTTGTGCAGAATCTGTCTGTACATCTAACAGAGATCGCTTGGATATACCCGGGTATACCGCAAGCCAACGGCTCGACATCTGTTTCAATACCATTACCGGATCTAGTTTACTATCTTATCTCGGTTGAAACGGAACGCGCGATGCCGGATGCCGAGGTAGATCGGCTTTGAAATAGCCCGGGGTCTTCTTCAGGTATATACGACATGAATAAGCCCGACCCAATTGATTTATTTGAATTCGCTGGAATAACCATCAAAAACATCCGAAACCGTAACATGCAATTCCCACTGACAATTACCAAAACTTTTCACTATTCTTCTATCTTGTATTTGGAGATAATATTCGTAGACGTATTCCCCGTCCATTTTCCTTTATAAAGTCGTAATTCAAAATATGCCCATCCGTTTAAAGCCTCTCCCGCATCTCTCGACATAACATTTAAAACGATTTCTGCTGGCAGCAGTGCCAAGACCGTAGCATCGTTGTTTTCGGACGGGGTGGAAAGGGGGATAGATTAACGAAACATAACGCCAGGGGTGCCTCTATACTCAACGGTATCCCAAAAGTATATAATAGAGAGGGAAGAGATGCCGTGGCATCAAGGATAATGGCACGGGGCGTGTTGGCACTGCTCTGGCAGTTAAACAGTCCGCTACTGTACAGAGAGGGGTGGGAGAATTTCAAAGAGAGCATAAACACTCCTCTCCATCGATCTACCATTCGAAAATTCCATTTTTCCCCCTCAACCTCCCTCTGTTCATTTTTTTTTTTATCCGCGTTATTTCACTTCGGCTCAACCCAGACCAAAATAAATTTATGAAAATAGGTATTTTTCCATCTATTCTCTCATGCACATGTTTTATGTAAATACATCCGGTGAATGGGGAGAGAGAAATTTTAAAAACTCACCCCTGGCAAAGTCCGCTTCTCATGCAGAGCGTTCTGGGCGCTGATTGCACTGTCACGACTGTAGTAGGTCAAAAATGCACAGCCTGAAATGGACAATATGACGTTAAATAGTTATTTTGACATTAATCGCGGGCGATTTGACCCGATTCAGCGGGAAATTTATAGCTCTTGAGAATCAATTTAATGTCAAGTTAAAAACCATCATCCTCTCTTGGTGAGTTAAAAAAAAAAAGAGGAAAAAAGAAGATTACCGTTCATTAATTCCCGCCAAGAGTCATGATGATAATAAAAAGATGATGGTGATTATTTTTATCAATTTGAGAAGTAGATTCTTCTCTGAGTGGTGAATACCGTTGTCATGGGACTGAGTGAGTTGTCCACTGTAATTAAAGTATTCACCATTGTACCCATTACCGTCAGATAATGTCAAGCATCTTATAACGCACATAAACTAACCCACTCGACCTGATTCCACGACTCACGCAAACTTCTGTACGAGTCTTGCTATCTCGAGGCGTTATCTCACCTCGTGTACCGATACGCATATGTATATATTCCCCCTCTCCCAGTCGTATCGAAATTCTGATATTACCAACTCCAATAATTCACGGCGCAAAGTAATTTATCGTTGGGGTATTTACCAGTGGTCACGTGTTGCCCTCGGAATATTGTACTAGAATCACAAATTTTAATATAGCACCGAAGGGCGCATTTTGAAGAACCGAATTATAGGAAAACCATCTGTGTAACAGGTTAAAACGATAGTAATTAACCTCACCCTGGTAATTGGCCGATGGTTGGAACTATTATCGAGTATTCGTATGAGTTGGAGAGTTTGGACAGGGAGAGTGTACCTCACTCAACATGTACCTGTTGGCTTGAGGATTTATTCAAAAGGGTTGAAGAGGGCATCATAAAGGTCCACTAACCACATAGCTTACGTTAAAAGCAACCATTACCCCGGATAAATAATAGTCTTAATCATTATATCATTAAAGTAACCCGAGTACACAACACTGAGATTTCCGATTATTCGATTCAGTTGAAATTTTTCATGAAAATTTTCTCATCTGCCAAATTCTTCTCGAGCCCACGAGGGATAAGGATTTCAATATTCATACACATCAGCCAAAAAGCAAGATGAAATATTATTATAGAGGGTGGTACGGAATGGAGAGGAAAATATTCGAAGTAAGTAGTTTCGCAAGAGAAGAAAAAAAAAAAGGAAAAAAGTCGGAGTATGCATGTAATTTTTCATCCCAGGACCTGTTATCTCGCAGGCACGGTTACGCGGTCTGTTGATACGGACGGTATGACGTACACTCGAGAGCCAGAACGGGTTGGGTAGAGTGCTTCTTGAATAAGGCAAGTATAGAGACTACGGTTATGGAACTAAAAGTTTCTTCGCGCCCGCGGGCTGTCACGCCAGGCACATTTGCCTCTTGTGTGTAACAACGGGACACTATCACCACTACCAAGTGTGTTAGCAACCAAAAAGCCCAGTACAGACTCTATTCACAATGGCAACGGTAAAATTGCGGTGAGCAGTTGGTTTTAGACCACTTGCAAAACCGGGATATTACCTTATATTTATAAACATCGGGGTTGGTTCTTATCTTAATTGCACTGGGACAGGTTGCATGACGCTCTTATTCCCTGGTTACACCGGGCACCGGCTATGTATCACATGGGAATACACCACAATTCATAAAATATTCTTGGCAATTGGAAAAAGGACGCATCTTATGCGGAATAAAATCTTTTTTTCCAACTTTTGATATCTCCCGTCAGCATGTATTACTCGAACTAAAAAATGAGTAAATATTGATACATGAAAAATGCGGTGATTTTTTATCCCCGAAATTTCAAGCTGTGCTATCAAATATAAAAGGTATTAAAAGAATATATCGATGGGGGGTAAAAAAAAAAAGATAAAGCACTGGTAATATTGCATGTCTGGTAAGATTGAACGTTCACGCAGAGTCGAGACAGAAAGGCCGCCCTCCTCTCCGAGGCCTTTCGTCCTCGATACAATACTTGGAAAAAGGAGAGAAAGACGGGGTATGGGAAGGCGAAGCAACGGTTATCGTCGGCCAGAATCGGCTTATCCATCACTTGGCTCTCTAGGTATATAGTACCGAGGACGTCCACCACCTGATGGCCAGTACTGGCGCGTTAATGCGAGCTCGTTTAGTTTCCAGTTTCTTATCTTTAACCCGCGCTATATACTCTTTGGAAAATTTATAATATTCTACCGGTGGAGAGTTATCTTGAAGAGGGGTGAGTTTTAGGTGGAGACGAGATCTTGAGGAGGTGAATTGGTAGTGGGTGGTAAGGGGATGGTAAGGATGGAAGAGGAGTCGCTATCTTTCGGTTGGGTCGTCACGCGTACCCCGTATCGCACGCCATGTCGCGAAATAAAACGGATATTGTGGTAGGGGTGTACAGTATCACAGAGGCACGTACTCCACTGGCAAAAAGATTCGAGCAGATCCCATCGATGAAACAGTCATGCACGATACCCTTGACTTAATTAATTCAATTGAAATTAATGAGTTCGTACAGGTGCATCATTGAAAGTGAGTTGAATTTTTGGATGGGGGCGGTCTACCTGTCACGAAATGCTTGAAAATATCCAGATAAGTTTCAACAACTTTTGTAAACTTGATATTTTGATGTGCTATATGCCAAGAAGTTTAGACAGATCGAAGGAGAGCTTTTGGACGAGTTTCTGAAGACGAGGGAAGAGAGATGGATGGGATTATATTTGGAGCGATAGAAGATAGAGGGATATTCGATTTTGCTGGGATAGTGAGGGGAAGAACAGGAGGCGTTTTATTTGCTGGAGAGGCAATGCTATGGCTAATCCACCAGTCACTGGACAAGGTCCAAGTCATAAAATGGATTTTATGAGAACGATCGATGCAACTCGGATATTTTCGTTACTCCTCCCCCCTCGACTTTGCGTATACATCACTCAACCGATTGCTTTATTTTTCCATCACTGGCAAGTCTACTAGCCGTGTCTAACGCTTTCTCATCGATGCAGAATGAATGCAAAAAAAAAAAGAGTCCAACGACGGGAATAATGAATAATCCATTCACATCGCTGACTAAACCGACAATTGAATGTCCCAGTGACTTTACCCAAGGGATCTCTTTCACCCGTTATGAATATAAATGCTGATGATTACCGTTCGACGTGTGTGCTCCACTTTCAGTCGGAAATGTATCATCGACATTCTGTTTCGAAAGTAGACAAGTGGAAATGGAAGGCATCCAATATACGATTTTCACGGTGAGGGAGAGCAAAACAAAAGATGGTAAGGACATAATAACAAATAAAAGTGACTCAACGAGTGAGTGCATAGCACTTATGTCTCTTTGTTTTGCCATCCCACATCGTATTTCGTTTTTGGATATGTATACTGCCAACAGTTATACCCGAGAATCATCGTTTTGTGCAGTGTAATACCCATGGAGGCGCTAATAGTACTATTCGCGGAGTGTTGCACGCGCTTTCACGGCTACTATGTACTGTGCTTGGTTTGATGCCGGAGAGGGTTGTTGCAGTAGAGCATGTTGCGCAGAGGAAATTGAAATATGCAAACAACCGCAGTCCCGACGCCCACTGATACTTCTCTATGTATATGGCTCTCATCCACCCCACCACACTCCCATTGTCAGCTGTGCAAGCTGTCCTTGTCTTTGCAATCCTCTTCCTAATCCTTCCTACTCCTATTCCAAATCTACTTCATCCACCCACATCCCATCTCCTCCCATAACTCATCATTTTTTTTTTCCCATTTTATTGAAAGTTGACCTCGATTTAAATTTCGTGTAAAATACATCAAGTGCGTATAAATAACCGAATTAAGGGAAACGAACAGAGTATTAGACACCGGAAACCGGAATTTCTCCAGTTTCCTCCATTCAGAGAAGTTTCGCACCATAAACTCTGCTCAGTGCGCGTATATAAAGGGACCTTGTACTTGAGAGGTCTATAACCGAGAAACCATACAGCCACACTTCACATCTCAGTTACTGCCTCGTTTCTACTCAATATATCGTAACTGAATTAATCGAATCGCCTTCGGGAGTTTGAAAATCCGATGGCTGAATGATGCAGATGAGTTTTGATGACCATCGGAGGGAAACAGGCTGGCTATTCGTCTTGAGATAAATGTGACGTAAAAAACGATTGGTTAAAGTGGAAGAGGGTGAATGGGGTAACGTGAATTTTTTCCGCAGCAACGGGTAAAGTGCGCCATTGAGAGTGATTTTTATTCAAGAGACGTTTTTCCAAGAGTGCCCAGCAAGCCCGGAGGCTTTAACTTGAATCTATGTCGAAAGTTTAGCTTCAGGATTTTTAATGTCAAGAGGAGAAATATAAAAATACAGGACCGCATTGGTACCATCATGACCTCATCTTTACGACAATTTTTCAGGAGCAGAGTGTCTCTATTTTTTTGGAATAGTTTTTTTTTTCACCATCAAACGTTGGTTTATCGAACGAAATATATTTTCCAACTCGAATGGTTGTGTACAGCTTGCTGAAAGCTCACGACTGGACGCAGGTAGGAATGAGTCGTAAATATGTAAATTATCCCCTCCAAGATTGTACCGGGGAAACTGTGCCCTCGGGTGGGTCGTTTGGTTGGCTTTTCATTTCCCCAGACATTCCAGAATCCCACCTCTTTATTGTTGTATAGACGACCTGCCTATATACGTTCACTTTTCATCTTCACTAGTCCAACAGTCTGGCAGATTAATTCCACATACCCGCTCCAATTCCCGGAGAATTCTGTTTGCTTTCAGCAAATAAGATGGGAGAAGGGGGTGAGAAGTTGATGAGATGCTGAAGTATCCAGAGGAGCCATTTGATGGCGTGGAGCAATCAACGTGATAAAATTATAACAATAATTCTCAATCGTAAACTCAAATACGTTTTATATTCTCGAGCTCGAGAGAAATATCGGAATTTATTGTCCAGTTTATATCATTTCAGTGGACGGAAAACCTCTGGAGGAATGAACTTTTTACCATTTAACGATGAAAAGTACAATTTCAAGGAATAAAGTAT